TAAAAATTATATGCCTTAAGAAATACGTTAATAAGATTTTCTCGGAATGTCATAAAAATAATATGTTTGTCAGATAAATTTTATCAAATACGTATTTTTCTGAGACCCATGAACAGAAGATATAATAATAAGTCACATGGGGAATCAAGAATATAGACACCCCTGATATTTCTATGAATAGATACGTTTATAGAAACTGTGCGTTTGCTCATTTCTTTCAGTATCATTTGGGTCATGCCAAAAAGAAAGAAGGGATAGCCTTAACATACATGGAATAGGGAAAATCCATATAATATCCTTGAAAAAGATTGCACCATACTTCTTTAGAACCGCAAAATTTTACGTTGCTATGATTCTAACAATTCTTGTTGGAATTGTTTTGGTTGCAAGTGTTTTGTTGAAAGCTTACTAGATGGAGTTTGAACCGTAATGTCTATGAAACCAATTCTAGTTTGAAAGTGTCTTGCATAAGAATTTAGGAAGAAAACCAAACTTTGTAATGTTATGACACCAAGCTTATAATGTCTTACTCTTGCTTACACGTAAGTGCCTTATAACTTTAGATGGCCACTAAGCCAATATGACTAAGAGTCATAGGTCATAGTAGTGGCTTGCTGCCACGTGGGGTTGGGGGTGGGAATTATTAATCTTTATCCACTTACTAGGTAATTAGGTAATGTCCTGTTACCCGGTAATTAACCAATTATTCACATAATTAAGAATTATCTCGAATTACTTAAAATACTACTCACTTTTAACATACTTTATACACCTTACTATCATAGTCATGTAGTACCTTGTATGGTACTAGTCCATAAATATGGGGTATTATAGCTTGGACCGTATTTTATTCCAAATTGCCAAACTTTGACGAAACTCATTTTATTTGATTTGCTTAGCCTCTCGCCTTCATGAATTTACTCGTCACTTGTTTGAAATAGCATAATGCTTATCGCAAAATAATCTCATTCCCGAACTTTCGTCGATTAGCTTACGACGAAACTTTAATGTACGAAAATGCGGGATGTAATATTTTATTTTTGAGCTTTCATTAATTTATTTATGGCGTACTTTCACGTACACAAAATATGGGGTGTAACACCTCCATAACTCCTCACCATGATCTTCCCCCATGATTTCAATTGTTAATGTCATGTTTAAGACAATCATTTTGTAACCTTCCTATGTAATAGTATAAATAGAGGCATGAAATGTTAAATGGGATACACTTGAACACTTGATGAAATAAGAAAGTTATCTCTTCTTCTCTTATTCTACTTATCTTCTTATATTATATTGTTACTTTGAACTACATTTCTTAATATGTTATCAGCACGAAGTTAAGCTCTTTTCGTTGTTCAGGTATATTTGTTCATTCTTAATATGCAGTTTTATAATTTCTCACATCTTTGGACATGTGTAAAAATAAAGAATTCTATGTTTCTTTATTTAAATTATTTGCATGTTAGTCACGTGAAAGTTGCTAATTTTCATGTTAATAGAATTAATTGAGAGAAGAATACTTGTTTTATGTTGTTCGACATTTGAAATTGTGTTAAAGTTAGAAGACATTTTTGTTCTAGTTAATATCAAAGATATACTAATAATTTTTTTAAAAAAATAGTATTCTTTTCTATGGAATTATCACTTTAGTATATATAGATCACAAATTTGATATTATGTCAATTTTTAAGATTCTTTACGCTATTATCCTAATGATTTCTAATTATTTATTGTAACGACCCGACAGGTCGTTTTGAGTCCTAGCGTGTCGTTTAGTAATTTGAGGCCACGAGTAGCTTCACTTCAGGTATTATGGCTTGCATGCGTGGTCGAAATTAAAAATTTGAAAGTTCAGAGTTGATCTGGAAAGAAAATTCTCATTTCAGAAGCTTTAAGTTGGAAGAATTGACTAAAGTTAGATTTTTGAGTAAACGATATCAGAATCGGGATTTGAAGGTTCTAACAGGTTCATATGATGATTTCGGACTTAGGCGTATGTCCGTATCGGGTTTTGGATAACCCGTGAGTGTTTCGACACCTATTGTGGAAGTTAGCATTTTGGAAGAATTCCATAAATTTGGGTTGAAGTGCATTTCAAGGTTATCGATGTCCGTTTGGGATTCCGAATATGGGTATAGCTCCGTATGGTGAATCTGGAATTGGGAGTGCATCCGAAAGTAGATTCGGAGGTCCGTAGGTCATTTTGGAGTCATTTGGCTAAAGCTAGAAATTTGAAGGTTTTTTAGAAGTTTGACCGGAGGTGGACTTTTTGATATCGGGGTTAGATTTCGATTCCGAAAGTTGGAGTAGGTCCGTAATGTAGAATGTGACTTGTTTGCAAAATTTGAGGTCAATCGGACGTGATTTGATAGGTTCCGGAATCGAATGTAGAAGTTTGAAGTTCTAAATTACATTAAGCTTGCATTGGGATGCGATTCATGATTTTGATGTTGTTTGATGTGATTTGAGGCCTCGAGCAAGTTTGTGTTATGTTATGGGACTGGTTAGTATGATTGGACGGGGTCCCGGGGGCCTCGGATATGTTTCGAGGTGGTTTCGGATTATTTCGGGCTGTTTTGCAATAGCTGATGCAGGTGTCTGGTGTTGTTCTTCGCGTTCGCGAGGATCCTCTTGCGTTCGCGAAGAAGGATTTGGCTTCGGGATTTTGTTCTTCGCGTTCGCGAAGAAGAAATTTTTTGTTCCGCAGGTTTGACTTCGGAGGCTCATATCTCACAATATATAAAGAATTTAAAGATAATCCAAAAATGAAAACTGTATCCCTTTGTGTCTAGTTTCCAGAAAGGTAAACCATTGAGAATTTAGATTTGTGTACAAAAAGTTATGGCTGGTACACTACAGGCTATCTAGGAAGATGAAGAAATTTGTATTTTACAGGGCTGATTTTGACAGCTTATATATCAAAATCTATAAGGAATTGAGAGATGATCAACATATGAAAGTTATAGCCCTTGATGTCTAGTTTCCAGAAAGTCAAACCATTTATAATTTGAAGTTTGGTACAAAAGGTTATGACCATTATACTAGAGGCTGTCTGAGAAGAATTTAAAAATGGTTTCTGAGAATTTTGTTCATCGCGAACGCGATGAAGGGTCGCCTGGGCAGTGTATAAGTTTGAAAAAATGGGTTTGGCTCATTTCATCTCATTTCCTCCATGGGAGCCGACTTAGGATCGATTTTGGAGCTCAATTTTCATCATTTATGTCAAGGTAAGTGATTCCTACCTATTGCAAGTTAAATACTTGGTTTATATACGAATTTAGGCATGAAAATTCATGAAAATTAGTAAAAATTTGGGGTTTTGAAGAAAAACCTAGAAATTAGTATTTTTGGATTTTAACCACGAAAATTACTATGGGATTGGATGGAAATGGTATATTTGAGTTCTTGAGATTATGCGTAACGGTTCCCTCCAAAAATTTCTGAAATCCGGGCATGTGGGCCCGGGGTGAATTTTAGGAATTTTACCATTTTGGATAGGGTAATTTATTTAATAGATAAATTTCGAATTATTTAACATGTATTAATTATTTCATATAACTTTTGGATAGTTTCGGATTTTCGGCACCGAATTGGGATTTTTACACGATATAGTGATCAGAAGTGGGCATTGAGACAAGGTAAGTCTCTTGTCTAATCTTGTGAGGGAAAAATTACCACATAGGTAATTAAATTAATAATTGTTGCTAATTATGGGGGCTACGTACGCACGAGGTGACGAGAGTCCGTGCGTAGCAACTATTAATGCTAAAGTCCGGGTAGTTTAGGACTTAAAGCATGAATTACTTGTGTAAATTATATCCGTTATTTAATTACATTATTTGATATATATCGTAAATTGTTAGTGAAAGATAGTAAAAGATAAAAATCTCATATGCTTATTTCTGTTTAAATTAATTAATTATTAAAGGAAAATTGTTCATCCTCTCGAATTTATCTTATAATAAACATACTCTCATTCTGAAGATACATAAGAAAATGTCCTCCTTTCTTGTGGAGCGGGCCGAACGCCTCGGCAGGATAAATGCATCTATGAATCGTGCCACACATCCCTCGGTAGTGTACACGATACTCTGGATCGGGTCGTACGTCCTTGGCAGAAATCGTGCCTAATAATAATAATTACACGATACTTTGATAATTTATTGTATCTTGTGAAGCTAATTGATAAATTAAAAATTATTGGGATCTAAAGAATTTATTTATCTCTGTTTGTTAAGAAATTAATTGTTATTCCTGTAAATGAGATTAATTGATAAATTAAAAATTATTTGAATTGAAGAAATTTAATTAATATATTGAGAATTGTTACATTTGAAGGAATTTAATTATTTTTGCTGGTTCAATAAAAATTATTGTTAACTCTGTGAATCATGTTGATAAAAATATTTATGCTTTTATGTTACTTATTATTATTAACCCTTAGTGAGTGTCAAGGTAGACCATCTTGTCTCTACCACTTCGAGATTAGGCTTGATACTTACTGGGTACACGTTATTTTCGTACTCATACTGCACTTACTGCACATTTTATTGGGTATGTACATATATGTATAGCGGCCTTGTGGGCGCAGAGGTGTGGTTAATAATTGTGGGGATATAGGTGAGCTGCATTCTATATTACGATCTGCAGCTAACAGAGTCTCCTTCAGAGTTATTATATTTTCCTGTCTAATTTGTATTCTGGACAGATGCTGTATTTTATTTTAAATTTTCTAGTAAATGCTCATGCACTTGTGACACCGGGTTTTGGGAATGGTTGTGAATTGTTTAGAAATTTAGTTGCTAAAAATATTTATCATTTACTCTATGAGTTTTATCTTTACTATTTCATTAAAGAAATTTTTATTTCAAAAATACTAAAAATGGGTAATTAAATTATTCGAATTATGGTTGGCTTGCCTGATAGTGGTGTCCGGCACCATCACGGCCTTAATGGATTTTGGGTCGTGACATTTATTTTCTTTGATAATTTTCACTATGTCGAATTTGTCAAAACATGAGTTTGTAGCCCTTGACATTTCTAGAAAGAATTACCTATCATGGGTTCTCGATGCTGATATTCACTTAGCCGCTAAAGGCCTTGGTGACACCATTGCTCAGGGTAATGAGGCATCAAGCCAGGACAAAGCGAAGGCCATGATTTTCCTTCGTCATCATTTGGATGAAGGTTTGAAGGTTGAATAATTAACAGTGAAAGATCCACTTGAATTGTGGAGTGGCCTGAAGGAACGGTATGATCACCTTAAGGCTACAATATTGCCAAAGGTTCGATATGAGTGGATGCACTTACGGTTGCAAGATTTTAAGACCGTAAGTGTGTATAACTCTGTTGTACTTCCCAATTAAAATTATGTGGGGATGTTATGAGTGATGAGGATTTGTTGGAAAAGACTTTTATGACTTTTCATGCCACAAATATGGTATTACAACAGCAATACCGTGAAAAGGGTTTTAAAAAGTATTCTGAATTGATCCCATGCCTTCTGGGGGCTGAGCAACATAATACCCTTTTGCTGAAAAATCATGAAACACGTCCCACAGTGTCAGCTTCGCTTCCTGAAGCGAATATGGTTGAAAGATGTAAAAAGTCTGAAAAAAGACAGAATAATTATCATAGACATATAAATGTACGTGGGCATGGCAATGGCAAGAGACGATATAATAATCGTCATCGTGGTGGTCATGGCAAACGAGAGAACAATATCGATTCTCAAAACAATCCTTCAAGAGGCAAAAACAGTAACTATCATCGCTGTGACATGAAAGTTCATTGGAAAATTGAATGTCGTGCACCTGAGTATTTTGCCAGGCTTTATCAAACCTCCATCAAAAGAAAGGCAAATAATATTGGAGCATTTTCTCCTAATGCCCCAGTAGAGTATCACTTGACCTTTAAAAATTATTTTGAGGCAGGGCCTTCAAACAAAAATGATGGCAATGCCGAGGGAAATCTTGCTTTGAATGATAATAATTTTGAAGGCCTCGATGATCTTACTCATTTGGAAGTTGAACATTTCTTTGGAGATCAAAACTAAAGTTTGATCATTTTACTCGGGAATGCAATTATGTTGTTATTTTTATTTTCAGTATTTTTTTTCTCGTTCTTAAGTTGTTTTTATTTTCAAGTAGTACTTAAGTTGTCTAATTTTGTTGTTGGTGTTGTTAGTTTTTCCGTATTTCTCATGGTGTAGTTTTATTTTTTATGAAGAAAATAAAATTTTTCAGTCTTCAATTGGATCCAAGATGAGTAATGAACATTTATGCCTTTTGGATAGTGTTACAACTCACACAATATTAAGAAAAATGAAAATTTTCTCTTATTTGGTTATGAAAAAGGCCTATGTTAATACAATATATGGTAGTACAAAGTTAATTGAGGGCTCCAGAAGAGCGGTCTTATTACTACCTGGAGGAACGATATTAACTATTAATAATGCATTATATTGTAGTAAATCTCAAAGAAACTTGTTGAGTTTCAAAGTTATTCGCCAAAATGGCTACCATGTTGAGACCTCTAACGAAGGAAAGGTTGAATACCTTTATATTACTACAATAAAAGCGAGAAAACCAATGTGTGCACGAAAAATTACCCGCATTTGTTTCTGGGTTGTACCACACAAATATTGGTGTGGTTGAATTACATGCCATAGTAAACAAAAGGTTTACTACTTCTAATAATTTTATCATTTGGCATGACCAGTTGGGCCATCCAGGTTCTAACATGATGCGCAGAATAATAGAGAATTTAAATGAGCACACATTGAAGAACAAGAAGATTCTTCTATTTAAGGAATTCTCTTGTGTTGCTTTTTCTCAAGGAAAATTTGTTATTAAACCATCAGCAACTAAAGTTGGGATTGAATCTCCTACATTTTTGGAACGTATACAAGGTGATATATGTGGACCTATACACCCTCCATGTGGACTATTCAAGTATTTTATGGTCTTGATAGACGCATCTACAAGATGGTCACATGTGTGCTTATTGTCAACTCGCAATATGGTATTAGCGAGATTGTTGACCCAAATAATAAGGTTAAGAGCACAATTTCCAGATTATGCAATTAAGACAATTCGTTTTGATAATGCTGGTGAATTTATATCTCAGGCCTTTACTGATTGTTGTATGGACACTGGAATAAAAGTTGAGCATCCGGTTGCTCATGATCATACTCAAAATGGTCTAGCAGAATCGTTGATTAAACGCCTCCAATTAATAACTAGACCATTGCTAATGAGGACAAAACTTTCCCTTTCAGTGTGGGGACATACTATTTTGCATGCAGCAGCACTTGTGTGCATAAGGCCAACCAATTATCATGAAGTCTCGCCATTACAGTTGGCTTTTGATCAGGAGCCAAATATTTTCTATCTAAGAATATTTGGATGTGCGGTATATGTGCAATTGCTCCACCACAACGCACAAAGATGGGCTCCCAAAGAAGGTTGGGAGTATATGTTGATTATGAATCTCCTTCTATTATTAAATATCTGGAGTTTATGACAAAAGATTTATTTACAGCCAGATTTGCTGATTGTCATTTTGATAAATTAGTTTTTCCAATATTAGGGGGAGAAAATAAACAACTGAAAAAAGAGATAGATTGGAATATATTATCTCTATATCATTTGGATCTTCGTACAAATCAATGTGAACAAGAAGTTCAAAAGATCATTTATATGTAAAATGTTGTAAATCAATTGCCATATGCATTTACTAACATTCCACGGGTTACTAAATCGCATATTCCAGCTGTAAATGCTCCACTTTGAGTTGATGTCCCATTTGGACAGTATGATAATGCAAATGAGTCTAGGACACGCCTTAAACGTGGTAGATCAATCGGTTCCACGTGGTTGATCATAACGTGGAGGTAATTGCTTAAGAGGAGAATAAAGACATAATAATTGATAAGACCTCACAGGAGGTTCTAGTACCTGGAAATGATGAAAATCAAGAGATCTCAATAAGTTATGTCTCTATGGGGAAAAGGTGGAACCGAAATAACATTGTTGTTGACAAAGATTTTGCATATAATGTTGCAATTGAAGTAATGCAACAAGATGAGGATCTTGAGCCAAAATCTGTAGATGAATGTAGACAGAGAAATAATTGGCCAAAATGGAAAAACGCAATTCAAGCGGAATTGGCTTCACTAGAAAAACGTGAAGTTTTCAGACCAATAATCCGAACGCCTGAAGGTGTCAAGACAGTGGGGTACAAATGGGTTTTTGTGCGAAAAAGAAATGAGAAAGGTGAAGTCGTAAGATATATAGCACGACTTGTGGCACAAGGGTTTTCGCAAAGGCCTGACATAGGTTATATGGAGACATATTCTCCTGTGGTAGATGCAATTACCTTCAGGTATCTAATAAATCTGGCAGTCCATGGAAAGCTTGATATGCGGTTGATGAATATTGTCACAGCCTACTTATATGGCTCATTGGACAATGAAAATTTTATGAAAATCCCTCAAGGATTTAAAGTTCCTGAAGCACATAAAAGTTCAAGGGAAACTTGTTTAATAAAGCTTAAGAAATCCTTATAGGGATTGAAGCAATCAGGGAGAATGTGGTACAATTGCCTAAGCGAGTATTTGTTAAAGAAAGGGTACAAAAATGACCATATTTGCCCTTGTGTCTTTATTAAGAGGTCTGGATCTGAATTTGTCATCATAGATGTGTATGTTGATGACTTGAATATCATTGGCACTTCTAAAGAACTTCCAAATGTTGTAGATTGTTTGAAGATAGAGTTTGAAATGAAAGATCTTGGTAAGACAAAATTTTGTCTTGGCCTACAAATTGAGCATGTAATAAATAAAATTTTTGTCCATCAATCAACATACACCGAAAAGGTTTTATAGCAATTTTACATATATAATACACATCCATTGAGTACCCCAATGGTTGTGAGATCGCTTGGTATAAATAAAGATCTATTTCGGTCTCAAGAAAATATCGAAGAGCTCGTTGGTGATGAAACTCCATATCTTAGTGCAATTGGGGCACTAATGTATCTTGCTAACAATACTTAACCAGATATTGCTTTTGTAGTAAGTTTATTAGCAAGATTTAGTTCCTCCCCAATAAGAAGATATTGGAATGGTGTTAAGCATATATTTAGATATCTTCGGGGAACTCTAGATATGAGATTGTTATATTCTAATGAATTCAAGTCAGAAGTGATTGCTATGCCGATGCAGGTTATTTTGTCTGATCCCCATAAAGCCCGATCTCAAACAATTTAATTATTTACATATGGAGGTACAGCTATATCATGGTGTTCAATAAAACAAACAATAGCTTCCACATCTTCAAATCATGCTGAGATAATAGTCATTCATGAAGCTAGTCGGGAATGTGTTTGGTTGAGATCAATGACTCAACATATTCAGGAAATGTGTGGTTTTCTAATGAAAAAAGATAATCTAACTATACTATATGAAGACAATGCTGCTTGCATTGCTCAACTGAAAGGAGGATACATCAAAGGAGACATAACAAAGCACATTTCACCAAAGTTCTTTTTTACGCATGATCTTCAACAAAATAGTGAAATTAATGTTCAACAGATTCGCTCGTGTGAAAATTTGGATGATCTGTTTACTAAGGCATTACTAACTTCAACATTTGAGAAGTTGAGACAGAAGATTGGAATGCGCCGTCTTCGAGAAATAAAGTGATGTTTTCATGAGGGGGAGTAAGATACGCGTTGTACTATTTTTTCCTTATCCTAGATTTTGTCCCACTGGATTTTTCTGGTAAGGTTTTTTAACGAGACAGCAAATAAAGCGTATTATAGATATGTGTACTCTTTTTCCTTCACTAAGATTTTTTTCATAGGGTTTTTCTTAGTAAGGTTTTAACGAGGCATATTATCTATTTTTGGATATCCAAGGGGGAGTGTTGTAAAACCTATAGTAATTGTGGATGTCCACTACTCCCACTACTTTCATCCTTGATGTAAATAACCTCCCACTACTCATCACTATTGTGATTGTAACTCTCACACCTCCATAACCCCTCCCCATGATCTTCCCCCATAATTTTAATTGTTAATGTCATGTTTAAGACAATCATTTTGTAACCTTCATATGTAATAGTAGAAATGGAGGAATGAAATGTGAGATGGGATACACTTGATAAAATAAGAAAGTTATGTTTTCTTCTCTTATTCTATTTATCTTCTTATTTTATATTGTTACTTTGAGCTACATTTCTTAATAGAAGGCATTTTGTTCTTATTTTTATTTAATTCTTCTTACTTTGTGGGGTGTTTATTGTTAGAAGTGTGTGAACAAAGTCCCACATGGAAAGCAGAAAAAAACATATGCTACTTATAAAGAGTTGGATACTCTCAATGGTGTGAGGCCTTTTGGGGAACACCGTGCAGGCTTGGCCTAAAGCGGACAATATCACACAATATCAAGAGTATTTTTGAGGCGTTTTATCCTAACAACTGGTTTCAGAGCCAATGGTTTGACGAGACGAGTATGGAGATGGCGAAATGATGGTGTAGGGCCCGACTTAGTGACTTGGCCCGTCTATAGGCCGGTTCACTACCTTTACTCATAGTTTCAAAGACGCATACACACCATCTCCTTGGACTTCGGCGACCGTAAATATTCGGGTCATATAGGTGACACCTAATTAATCTCAAAATTAGCCCATAAACGGTGATGTGTCATGTGGAACTTAGTTCAAGCGGGAGATTATTGGAAGTATGTGAACAAAGTGCCACATGGAAAGTAAAAAAGAAAAATAAGATACTTATAAGGAGTTGGATACTCTTAATGGTGTGAAGGCTTTTTGCAAAAAACATTGTGAGTTTGGCCCAAAGCGGATAATATTATACCATATTAAGAGTATCTTTAGGCCGTTTTAGCCCTACACTTATTATAATCTTGCAAGCACAGCACCACTTGTTACAACTAATGAAAACACTTAAAATTGGTTTTCAAAAAATACATTATATATAACATGACTCCTAACAAAATGTTGGTTACGATGCTCTACCTTTATGTGCACAATTTTCAAATAGGCCAAATACCTATACGTCCCCTTAAACTTGACTCCAATTTTTATTTTGATACTTTAACTATGGCTAGTACCTATTGAACACTCAAATTTAATTTTAAGTGTACCTATTAAATACATCTTCTTTACCCTGTGTAAATAATTAAGTGCGTATTGTTCACTTTCGAATGATGTGGCAATAGATCGAATGAAAAAGTGACATGTGCCATTTTGACTTTCGATTTTCTTTTTTTAAGGCTAAATATTCCAATCTATCTATTTTCACCCCTTTTAGTTTTATCTCCACCTCCCCCCCCCCCCCCCCCTCCCTCCTTGCCCCTCCCCTCTTTCTAAAGTTATCTCTTCCTTGTAGCTCCATTCATGTCTTTCCTCCTCTTATCTATCGATCCCTCTCTTTAGCTATGTCCAAACAAAAAGCATATTATTGTTTTTTGATTGAAAATTTGTCATGTTTGTAACTTCGCTATTTGGCGTTAAATTCTAACATCTAACGGAAAAGTCGATGCCGGCAAAATCGTTGGGTTAATCTCCATGTATGTAGCTACAAAATAAAGTCAATTTTTCATGTTTAATCTGTGAAATTGCTGAATTTCTCTCAACAAAATCGAATTTGCTTGGTTGATGTCTGAAATTGCTACTTTGTCTTGTTGGGTTTGCTTGGCTGATATTTGACATTGTTGCGCTTTTCTTGTTGGATTCTCTTTGCAAATTAAGCTAGTCGATTTTGCTTGGTTATTGTCTGAAATTGCTGGATTTTTCTTGATGGATTTCTATTTGTTGATTTCTGAAAGTGTTGGGTTTCTCTCGTGGTATCTATCCGAAATTGCTGGATTTTTATTCTTTTCTGGATTTCAAGATTTTTTTGGGTCTCTCTTGATAAATCATTTTTAGGTTTACACTTCTTCTTTGGCATGTAAGTTTATCGAATTTGAAGTGAAATAACAAGTTAATCAATGTTCAAAGTGGGATGAATCTGTAAGTAGATCCAGAGAAGAAATTAGGAAAAGGAAAATCTGGAGGGATATTAGTGATAGAGACAATGAAGGAGAAGACAAAGAATAAAAAAAATGTTTGAAAAAAAAACAAATGTTATATTTCTTATTCACGCGCCCAACTTTGAGTGAAAATCACACATTATGCCATGTCACATGAAATGTTTAATAGGTACACTTGAAATTAAGTTGGAGTGTTCAATAGGTACTAGCCATAGTTAAAATACCAAAATAGAAATTGGAGTAAGTTTAAGGGACCGTATAGGCATTTGACCTTTCAAATATGATATTGTGGTAGTTTCATTATTTGCAGAACCATACGAAAAACGGGAAAAGGTATGGTTTCAAACTGACAAAATATCAAACCTCATGATTTAACTAGTATATCTTCCAAACGGTCATTTTCCAATCTTAATCTGATTCTGTTATAACTTTTTAGCCTGTTGGAGTTGATAACATCCATCATTTTCATGCTAAGAAATTCAAAATGCAATATCAATAAAATGTCAACTTGCTGCCTATCTTTTCTTCACTATCTGCCATTTCACTACCTTTCCCTTTCTTTTTTTTCGCACCCGGCGTTTTGGGACTACTTCGTCTTTACGCACGTAAAGCTTATTAAACGGAAATCGTTTAAAAAAGTAGCCCGATACATAAAGTATTTCGTATTTACGGAGGATTCGAAAACAAAATACACACCTAAACGGTATAATGTAGACAACCAACAGTGCTACTTCCGCAGCTCGTATTTATAGGTCACACTTAAACTCGTTCTCTATCAGAATTCTTAACTCTTGTTGATGCCATTTCACTACTATCTTTTTACCCTTCTCATCTAACAAAGGCATTTTAGATTTTTAAAAAAAGGTTCCTAAATTTACTAAAATGGCTAAGATATTAGGGTGTTTGAATTGACTTTTAAAAAGTAACTTATAAGATAAAAGCTAAAAATCATAAGTTGGTAATACCCAACTTTCGACTTTTGACTTATTTTTATATTTTTTCATGCCTAAAAATATTTTTTTATTTTTGCCAAACACCACAATTATTTTTACTACATAATCTTGAATCACGTTGGAACTTTCGACACTACAAATAACTCATCATCACAGAAATAATTTTTTGTAGATTTCTCCTTTAGTAGAAAAATTTTCGTAACTTAAAAATAAGGCGGAATGACTTTCTAACCACTTAAAATTGACTGGATTTTAAAAGGCGATACATAAACTTTTAACTTTTTTATTTGAACACTCGAACTCATTTTCTCCGTAACTAATAAAAATATTTGACCATTGACCATGGTCATGTGGCGTTAGTCGGTCCTAATCAGCATGTCGCGTGAGGAACACGACGCACAGGAGCGTGAAAGCCCCATTTTCAACGTCCAACAGTACAAAATGGGTTGTATTTAAGTGTCTTTTTATTCATTCCTTCTAAAATACCCTCTGCCTCCATTTTTTAAAATCTGAAGCTTCATTCCTCCTTGTAAAATCTAAAGCTCCATTTTTAATTTTTTTTTTCAAACCGTCAAAATTATGGAAACTTGTATATTTTGTCATTGTGAAGTTGAAGCTAAGTTTTGCATCACTTGGACCAAACGAAACTCGATCAAAACAAGAATAACGGATAATAAACGAAAACAAAAAAATGGGTGAGTGATTATAGAATGAAAGAGGGCTCGCATTTATAGGTCACACTTAAACTCGTTCTCTATCAGGATTCTTAACTCTTGTTGATGCCATTTCACTACTATCTTTTTACCTTTCTCATCTAACAAAGGCATTTTAGGGGGGAAAAAGTTCCTAAATTTACCAAAATGGCTAAGATATTAGGGTGTTTGAATTGACTTTTAAAAAGTAACTTATAAGCTAAAAGCTAAAAATCATAAGTTGGCAATACCCAACTTTCGACTTTTGGCTTATTTTTATATTTTTCATGCCTAAAAATACTTTTTTATTTTTGCCAAACACCACAATTATTTTTATTACATAATCTTGAATCACGTTGGAACTTTCAACACCACAAACAACTCATCATCACAGAAATGTTTTTTTTTGTAGATTTCTCCTTTAGTAGAAAAGTTCCGTAACTTAAAAATAAGACGGAATGACTTCCTAACCACTTAAAATTGACGGGGTTTTAAAAGCCAATACATAAACTTTTAACTTTTTCATTTGAACACTCGAACTCATTTTCTCCGTAACTAATAAACACATTTGACCATTGACCATTGACCATGGTCATGTGGCGTCAGTCAATCCTAATCAGCAGGCCGTGTGAGGAACACGACACACAGGAGCGTGAAAGCCCCCTTTCCAATGTCCAACAGTACAAAATGAGTTGTATTTAAGTGTCTTCTTATTCATTCCTTCTAAAATACCCTCTTCCTACATTTTTTAAAATCTGAAGCTCCATTTTTAATTATTTTTTTCAGACCGTCAAAATGATGGAAACTTGTATATTTTGTCATTGTGAAGTTGAAGCTAAGTTTTACATCACTTGGACCAAACGAAGCTCGATCAGAACAAGAATAATAAATAATAAACGAAAATAAAAAAAATGGGTGAGTGATTATAGAATGAAAGAGGGCTCGCATTTATTTGTCACACTTAAACTCGTTCTCTATCAGGATTCTTAACTCTTGATGATGCCAT